ATGAATGTCTCATTTAAGCTTTGCTGCCCTTTTTTGTACTAAACAATATATCCTCTACTATGAGCATACATGACAATTTACAGTGGAAACATATAACAAATGTGATGCTGTCTGCATGCACAGCTGGCAGCAAATTCAAGAGATGATCTTCATTAAATATGTATTTAACGGTGAAGTTTAAAGCCACTTCTCCTTATGTCAGTCTTATACAGCAAGCAGAAGGACACAAAAAAAACAGTGGAAGTTTCCGTTTTCAGCTCTGAAAAGACAATGTGCTTCTCAGAAATAAAAGGGGAACACAGAAGCAATAAAAGCACATGTATGGATGTTTTACTGGGAAGCCTATCATCTAATTACTCATCTCTTTACAAACGTCCCCAAAACCCAGAAATTTGAATTCTGGGCAACACAAAATACAAGAAAAATCCTGGAAGCCTTCAGAACACGCATCTATATGATGAATTAAAGACCTTTGCTCATTAGCAATAAATTTGATTAGAGCTGCAATATTAAGTCACTTTTCCACGTGCACCAAAACTCTGAGTAACATCTGAGACGCTCAGTAAGGTATCTTTTTTTTGAGAACAGCTTTTTTCCTCTATAGATGTGGAAGAGGAAGAGAATACATTTCACAAGAGGTAAGTGCTCAGCAAAGAAATACAGTAACCAATCTACCACGAGTTCACTGGCCTAAAAGAGCAAGGACAAAACACTTCTGGAGTCAAGAACAACCCCTGTCCTTTACCCAAGGACGGACACAAGCACAATTTAAATGAGTAATGGCCAACCTTTATAGCTTACCTACTTTGGAACAGGGCCACAAACTCAAATTGAGATTAGACTCTAGAAAGCTTAAACAACTACCAGCATTGTTGCGTGGAAGCTGGAAGCTTTGCTCTTTTGTCAATGACAAACGGATGTCACTTTCTACTCGAGAGCACAATTTTTTTGTTGCAACCTTTGCATTTGTCACATTATGCAATACCCTTACATTCATGTGAAGACAGTTTGCACATCACCATCGCTGACTGTACTGCAATCTCAGGCTAGCAATACAGTTTCCCACCAGTTATGTTCCTATTCACATGCGATTTTCCCTTTGAGGTTCCAAGTAATGTCACAGATCAAAGCTGAAATATTCCCACTGGCAATTATCAGTACGGATTAAGAGTGTTAAAGCCTTTTTTTTTTTTTCCATATCAGGTAAAAACAAACTGTTCTCACTGTTCTTTGGCCTTTCAACCACTGCAGCATGCAAACCATTTGCTTCCCTAAAGTCCTATGCTCTCATCAAAGGCATAAATAGGAAATTCGCGAGGAAAATACAGCACAAAATGTATTATTTTAGAGCAAAAGGAAGGGGATTTTAAAGAGAGATAGAAATCGCTATCAGTTTTTTAGCCCCAAGGAGCTCATTGAATCCAACCCAATTATGCCTTCGCAGCGTAACTGAGCATCAGACCCCTCCCGAAGCTCTCAGGACTCCCAGCTCTCGTTCTCACCCCGCCTGCGCCCACCTCCCGAGCCCGTTCGGTACCCTGACGGGAACCGGTTCCCCGACGGCTGAGAAGCAGAGCACCGGGGATGCGTTTACCTCAGGGCGGCGGCCCCGCTGCCCTCAGAGCCGTGATTGGCGCCGTGCCGGCGGCGCGTTGGGCCGAGCCGGGGCCGAGCGCCCCCCCGCCGGGCCGCCGCAGGCGCCACCGTGCCCCTCCGCCGTGCGCTCCGCGGAGCTCAGCGCTCCCGGAAGTGGGCAGGGTAGCGCCGCAGGAGGCGGAAGTCGAGAGCCCGTCACTGCGCAGGCGCGGCGGCAGGCAGGGCTTGCCGCTTGGATCAATGCGCATGCGCTCAGGGACGAGTGGGCGTGTTGAGTGCAGCGCGCATGCGCACAGCGCAAGGCGGGTCGTCCTTGGCGTCGGCTGTGGGATGGGCGGGTAGTGCGCATGTGTCGGTGATGGAGCTCCCGAGGGAGCGGTGGGCTGCCTGATGGGCAGGGCGAGCTGCGCTTCGTCCAGCTGTTGAAACGAGACGTTTTCTTTCCCGATGTCTGAAAAAAAAGTTGTCTGTGGCTGAAAACGATATCTCTGAAACGATATCTCTGTGGTATCGATGGTTGCAGAGTGAAGACGCACAAGGCGGCTCAGGGAGAAGCCTGAGCTGCTGTGCCCCCATGGCCCTGAGACACCTGGGCACAGCCCTGCCACAGCCTGCCAGCCTAGCAGTGCCTCCCCAGCCCCAGGCAGCTGGGCTAGGAGTGTTTCTGTGAGCACATCCTCTGCCCCTCTGAAGCCCTTGAAACCCCTTTGGAATCTGCCCCTGAAAATGAGGTACAAAGCAGCTAGCCTAGCAGTGTGTGAGACGAGGCAGTATTTAAAGCACATTAAGAAAAAGCCTAAGGGTGGCATTGTGACAGCTCAAACACACTTTTCCATCTTATTTTTCTTGTAGCATGAACACCATCTAGTGGGACATGGGCAGCAAGTGCTGATACGTGCAATATAATACAGCTGTCTGCATGTCTGTGCATGTTTCTATGCTTCTTTTCTTCCATTTCCTTCTCCTTCTGCACCAAAATATTGCAGACTTCAGAAAAACTTGCTTTTGTATATAATCTTCTATTTCCCAGTAGATGGATTTCAGGGTGGAACTGTTTATCCCCAATGCTGCTATTCAAATGACAGCACACACAATCACAGAAACACCAAGGTTGGAAAAGACCTACAAGATCATTCAGTCCAACCATCCACCTATAGTTCTCACTAAACCATAGCCCTCAACACAAAATCCAAATGTTCCTTGAATACCTCCAGGATCTTTGACTCCACCACCCCCCTGGGCAGCCCATTCCAGTGCCTAAACACAAACATCTGTGCATAAAAAATCATAGAAGGTGATCTCTCTAACACTTGGTTTTCTCTCCATGTCATCCTAATGCAGTGGAAATGTTGCAACCCATATCAGTAGAACTGATATTTCATAATTTGCCACTGCAGTGTAACTGCACTTGTCCACTGGATGGTGCATCACTTGTTTCTGCAGCAGGAGAGCATCTTAAAATGTGTTGGAGTCATACTGACCTTGGCAAGCAGTGTGCATCTCTCCATATGTGAAAATAGAGGGAGAAATTGTATAGACAAGGCAGTTGTTTAGCAACTAAAAAAAATAATAATTACATATAATGTCATGTGACATAAATACAGGCTGAAAATAGGATGTTTTCTCCCAGACCAGAGACTTCTCAAAGTTCAGGTCTTGCTTTACACATGTGGGTTTTGCTGGTATTGGTGGTTGTAGTTCTGAAAATCTAGATTCATTTGCAGCTCTTAGAGGATTAGAGACCATGAACCTTTTTTTTTTTTTTTTTTCTTGTCAGCTTTGATTTCTGTTCAAGACAGCTTGGATAGGGCAAGGCAGCAAATCAGTCTGAAATTCACCTTGTTTCCTTCTCTGTATTTTTAGCACTGTGCAGGTTTCTCATTTCCTCCTGAACTCAAAACCAAACAAATCATTTGCACGTTTTACTTCCCACGTTTTTGCTAAGTGTGTGGAGCAGGGCTTGGGCAGATCTGTTTTAATATCCAAATCATTGTTTTTGCCATGCTAAAAACATTACCAGACATGTCAGGACTTCGGTTCTTCTGCAAGTCCTGCTGTTTTGGAACCACTTCCCCAGCAAAAAATACTGCCAAGATAAATTGTTTGTCAGAGGTATATTCAAGTCTTCCAACAGATTACCTAAGAAATGTTGAAAAATAATGCTGCACAAAGCAAATTGTTTCCATGCTTCCTGTCCTTGTAGGAAGGAATGGAGCTTATCTCTGTTACAGATTCCATAGAGACGGCTGCAGTACCTTAACTGATGCACTGTTTAAACTGGGAGAGTTTTGGAATACTTCAGATATCAGAGAAACACATGAAATATGCATGCCCTGTTGTTCCTGCCCTCAGAAATGCAAATACTGACATTCAAATGATTTGTATGAGGACTCCGATGGTTTGGCAAAGCACAGTTAAACTGCTCACAGATTGCATGAGACAAAAACAATTCAGCAGAATATGTCATTTCCCATAGGCAAGTCTCAAGACAAGTGTTGTTTAGGGTTTAATTATGCATGTTTGTAAAGTGCCAAAGATTTGTCACTTGTGTGGATTCTTGCTCGCCGAGTATTGCTTTGTGTCAATGTTTTCTTTAAATCTGAGCTAAAAATAAAAGCTGTTCTTCATAACACATTCCATTGCAACCTACCTCTGTACTGAACCATTATCTGCTCTGCTGCAGGTGCGGTGATAACATTGTGACATAATCTATCTTGTGGCTGTTTTTAGCCATTCTATGGCATGATCTGAAATAAGAAAATCACCTTTTTGTCTCGCAGGCTCTCTGTCTCCCATAGGTAGTTAACTTTAACACTTGCTCCTTGAGTATTAATTCAAGCAACGATGATTTAAAGAAATAAATTTTTGAAACTCATTGGTGCCATCTACTTTTAAGTTCCTTTCTACTTACTTTTGATGTCCATTGACAGCAGTAAAGCAATACGGTCCAGCCTCAGCAAAGGGAAATTGTACAAATAAGGAAGATTTTTAAGAAGAAGATAAAATGAACATCTAAGACAATACTTCCGAAAGACAGACAGACAGATGATCATTGAGGCAGAGTAAATGCACACATCAGTACCCTAAAAGTCTATATACACCCACTGAGAAGTCTGTAGTGTTAACAGGGAGTCCAAACTAAATGTAAAAAGCATGGAATCTGAGAGCCCTGTCTTTCTTCAAAGCAAGATCAGCTACACCTCAACCAGTCAGCTACACCTCAACCCTAGACCTAACCATGACAGATTGGATCTTAGCTGATGTAGGGAAATGAGACAAAATGCTTGCTAACTGTAAGAGGAATAAAAAGGTCTATTGTGTGGTGAGCCAACGGGCATCAAAAGTGAGGCTTCCAGAAATGGCACCTACCAAGGTGGCCGAAAGGATGCCTACTGAGATTCTGCTTCATGGCTTGGATGAAGAGTGCAGCTGAGTCATTTCCCTGCCCATTGGCTGCAGCTGGCAGTGGGATGAAACAAAGGACCCACTTAAGCTGGAAGCTGAATGAAACAGAGCCAGAAATCAAAATAGGAACTGAGATCCCAACCAAGGAGCTGGGAGCAGCCTCAGGTTTAAGGCTCAGAACCACAGATTGCCCTGGGAAGGAGGAAACCACAGACTCCACATCCCCTGCACCACACCAGTGGTGTGCCTGAACTTCTCTTTGGTTCCGTCCAGCTGTGCAAACTGGGAGCTGAGATCACGTTTATTGGGAAAATAACGAGAATGACAAGGATAGTAACGGCAACAATAAATAAACAAATAAATAAAACGATCAAATGCCACTTTCGATAACGATAGTAACGGTAATACTAACAGTAACCAGTTCACAAATACATCAATAAACAAATGCAACTTCTATGCGTGACCTCAGAGCGCCGGCAGACAGGACGAACCCGTAAGCAGCTTCGAGGCGGAGTTTGGCGACCGCCGGAGCGATCGGCCCAGCTCTGCAAAGCGGCTGCAGCTCCGTTCCGCGCCCCGCGCTGCGCTCCGCTCCGCTGCGCGATGTTGGCGCTGCTGGCGCTGCTGGCGGCCGCGCTGCTGGCGCTGCTCGGTGCGCGGCGGGCGGCTGCTCCCGGTGCCTGGGTCCCGCTGAAGCGCTGGGCCTTGGGAGGGATTTTGCTCCTCTACGGCGCCTGGAAGCAGCGGGCTGCATGCGGAGGGGCAGCGGAGCCCCGGAGGCCGCGTCTGCTCAGTCCAGACCCCCACGTGAGTGGCCTGATGTGCCCCAGAACGGCTCGCTTCCCTGGCACCTCGTCTATCTCTCTGGCGCCCCGTTTCCCTAGCACCTTTTTCTCTGGTACTCCTTCGCCTGGCACCTATCTCCCTGGAGCTCCTTTCCCTAGCATCCTCATCTCCTTGGCATCCCATTTATATGGCACTCTTTTGACTGGAACCCCATCTCCCCAGCACTGCGCCCAAATGCATTCCATCCCCAGGACTCCCATCTCCTGTGAGGCCCACTGTGTCCCAATGCAATGCCATCCCCAGGATCTCCATTCCCTCGGATCCCCACTGTGTCCCAGTGCATGCCATCTCCAGGACCTCCATCCTCTGTGCTGCTCATTCCCCTAGCACAACCATTCCCCCTGTATGCACACTCCCCAGGACTTCTGTATGTGGGACTCACATCCCTCAAGGGCACACATCCCTCTGCATCACCTGCACGCCAGCACCTTGCATCCCCCTGCATCAGAAGCCTCCTTCCCCTGCATCCCAATGCTGGGCTTCACTCACTACCCAACGTTGGACCTGCACCTTTTTTCTCCCCATAGCATATCTCTGGGATGGCAACATGGGTATGTCACCTTGGTTGTACCTTGCAGGTAGAAGTGGAGTTGTGGATTTCTGTGCCTAGATTTTCTTGAGACTTGAGATGTTAACGCTGGTTGGTAGTCATGGCAGTGAAGTGCTGGGTTTCCTATGGCAAGAAGCTCACCTTGCCTGGCTATCATGAAGTAATTATGGTCCCTTGTTAAACTTGCTTATCACCTGCTCCATCTCTTCTTCCTGATAAGTAAATGGGCAAAGGAGAAAGGAATAATGCTTTTAAGCCAATGAAAAATGTGATATTAGATACAGAAAGTGAAAGTAAAATCCAGTTCCTGAGAAAAAACACGGAAAACAAAGCATGACTCTCTTTCTCCCCCTCCAGCCTGAGCTGAGATCTGTTTCCTTTTCCTTAGGCACTTGATTCAGTTTATTTCACGGGCTTTGCAGAGACCAACAAGAGCTTTGTGATTGCTCGTCTTGCCAAGCGTCCCAATGGCATCTGTGAGATGTGGCTCTTCCTGAGGGTGGATGGAGTAGGAGAGTTTGAAGTAAGTGGTGGACATTCAGTCCTTAACTCCTATTGCTATGCTAGGAACCCAAATGAAAATTAATCATAAAATCATTGAGATTGGAAAAGATCATGAAGATCATCCAGTCTAACAGACAACCCATCACCACCATGCACGTGTCTTCACTGATGTTGGACTGAGGGACATGTGGAAACTGTTGGTGGGCATTTGGACTGGATGGTCTTGGAGGTCTTTTCCAACCTTGGTGGCTCTATGATTCTATGATTAACATCCTAAACCGTCAGTGCTGTTACAAGGCAGTTACATGTGTTGCATGATCTTGTCTTCTTAAAACACCCCATTGGATTTCACTTCCAGTGAATGCAACAATCACTGGTAGAAAAACATACCCTGAGACCTGTTTTCTTCTCAAATGTCTCATTAAGATAAGTGGCAACAGACATTAAGGAAAGAAAACTGTTCATGAACCCCATCTGGCTCCAGAACTGAATGCAGTCAATCCACACACGAGGAATAGAATGGTGCTCCAGTAGATAAATTGCATTTCACTTCAGTGGCAGAATAGGCTGGATTACTTCTTGTGTCTAATTTTCAGAGCAGGTATCTGATATTCACTGCTTTTTTTTTTCCCCAGCAAGTGCACTAAATATAGCATGTTGTCTAAAAAAAAATATCTTGGTAAATCTTCTTGGAAGTATTTGAGCATTCAGTCTTTGTGATAATGTGCTGCATGTGGTTAATAAGCAATGCTGTACAGTTTACAGTTATGGTTGTTTTTTCCCCTTTCTGCAATGAGTGAATGCTATAAAACTGTTGTGGAAGTGCCTCTTTCAGAGAGAAAGGAAGGCTTTTAAGGAGTTAGATGTACATCTGCTTCATTCATCCTAAGAGGAAAACAGTATTAATCAAAGATTTTGCTTGTGGATTTTCTTTCTGTCAGTAGCTGACTCTGTGGTGAAGAAAAAGAGAAGATCTGGCCTAAATCCCTTTGCACCTCACCAATACATTTCCATTCACAAATTTGCTTTGCTAAGTAGCCATGACCAGGGGGCATCCTATTCACAGTAAACCACAAAAGTGAAGATTGATGTGCATTATTAGGTTTCCTACTACTATGTAGCTGTGGCTTTATTATTTGCAACTGCAGCCAAGTTATATACCATACCCTTCCTTATAGCAGCAGGGATAAGAGTTCCTTCAGGAAGCTGACAACCTTTGGAAATAAGGCATATTTTTCAAAGAGCAGCTGACGAGCTTTGAGAAGTTGTATGCACTAAAAATCTAAATCACGCTTAAAACAAAATCATTTGTTTCATCATAGTCAGCCTAAAAATAACTTTTACGCCCCAAAGCTTCACATCAGCTTGGGTTTAAGCATGAGCTGGGCTGTTACAGTGGCTTTCCTTCACACAAGTAGTTCATCTGCATTATCTAAAGCAATAACAAACTATCTGAAACTCCAGTATTTTAGATGCAAATTTTCTTTTCCAATACGTGGTTACCAGAAAGCAGATGTAGCTGAAAAGCCAATTCAATCAGATGTTACTCCTGCAGAGGGCTGTCACAGTGGGAATTCACCTGTGTTGCACCTCCAGAACTGGGTTAAACAAATGTTTTCCTGAAATGTCTCTTTAGCACCCACAGCACCCAAACATGATGGTGAATGATGAATCTGAAGAAATTTGGAGTGGAGGAGGGCTCACTATTGAATACTTAGAGCTCCAAGCACTCTGGAAAATAAGCTTCAATGGACTCCTCAGGTATTACAACACTGTGGTCTCATAAACATGAGGCCAAGGCTTCTTGAACACTACCTGGAAAACTAATTAACAGGCTTGAACCAAAAGCTACTTGGTACCAATAGCATGCATTGCCTTTTATGCAATGAAAACACAGCTGGTAATATCTGCATCTAGTTCTATTCTCTGCTTCTTCACTGCAATGGAGCATTACCGTCTTTCCTTAGCACACAATGACATCATTCTTCTGCACTGCCTTCTGTTGATTCCATTTTCAAATACATAAAAAATGTCACCTGTTTAGAAGTTATACAAAATTATGGTGCTTTCTCTTATAGAAAAGGACCTTACCGACAGCAGTGGAGTGAAGAAGAGGGAGAACTTGTACCGGTTAAATTCTCTCTTCAGTAAGAGCATTTCAGTTTGCTTTGGTTTGTATTGTGGGTTTGTGGTTAAAGATTTGGTTCTTCAATATATTCTTGAGGAAATGAAACCAAACTGACTGCATAGTGGGAACTTCATTATTTGTTATATAGGGGGTTATCACACCAAAGACTTCGATGTCTGGTGTTTTCGTCTTTGGAGAAACTGCTTTAAAAGGAATTTAGTGCTGTGGTTTCAAAATACACTGGTCCTTCTGTTTGGCATTGTTTCTTGGAGGGGGAATGGCTGTTTACAAGGGTGGATAGGACAAGGGGGAATGGTTTTAAACTGAGACAGGGAAGGTTAAGGTTGGATATTAGGAGGAATTTTTTCACCCAGAGGGTGGTGAGGCACTGGAACAGGTTGCCCAAGGAGGCTGTGGATGCCCCATCCCTGCAGGCATTCAAGGCCAGGCTGGATGTGGCTCTGGGCAGCCTGGTCTGCTGGTTGGTGACCTGCACATAGCAGGGGGTTGAAACTAGATGGTCATTGTGGTCCTTTTCAACTCAGGCCATTCTATGATATGATATGATATGATATGATATGATATGATTCTTGCATGTTTCCTGTTAATAGTAGAAATAAAACCCAAGCAACAGTTATAGAATGATTCTAGCATGTATTTGGATAAAAGCTCTGCTCGTCCAACTAGGAAACAGTATACAAGATAACAACCCCAAAACTACAATCTCTATTTGAAAATATGTATTTGGGGCTTTATTTCTCTTATCCCCATAGCTATTGTTTTCACAGGGTCAGGTGTCCAAAGTAGTTAACACCATCCTTGTCTCTGCTTTCTTATTCTGCCACTGCTTTCCAGCAGTGCAAATGGTTTATGGACTGTTTGCCTGATTAAAAATGATTTGCTGTCGGAGTAGCACAGCATTTCTGGCATCATGCTGCATTTGTACCTCTGAATAGACTGAATGAGAGAAAGCATCATCTTTTTACTTGCAGCTCTGCCCTTCCAGCTTCCCTTCCTAGGTGATCTGCTGACCTTTGTTGAGTCATTCTGCAGCACATGGTACCCATTCTCTGTTTCCTTTTGTTTGTCTTCTTGAAAAGTAATAGCCTATTAAAAATGGAAAAAATCAGAATTTTTCAAACATCATAACATGCAAAGATTATCACTGGAGTAGCAAGTGCACAACTTGGCCTAATGTGACCTGCAAGCTGACAACAGCTTTTGCTTTTTCCCTTCTTTTCCTAGTTGGGAGAACTCTACAGAAGTGTTCAGCTTCCGTGATGACAGTCATCCCAGTACATTTGTTCGTGCTTTTGCCCAGGAACCATGGACCATCGATTTCTTCCAAAGGGTTAAAAAGTGAGAGACAAGAGTAATGTCTTCTGGGGTTAATTATAATTACTCTACAGACTGCTGCAAGGGTATGCCTGTGTGTTCTAAAACTGTAGTAGCTGGGAAATCTGAAAGTGCTTGCTAATATATCTGACACAGCTGTGATCTAGATGCTCTGAAACCTTTGTTTTTTGGATGCACATCCATCAGATTGGCACTGTGGTTTCCCTAATAGAAGCCATGTTGATTTTGCCAATGTTGATTCGAGCTTTTCTTTCTTCCAGACAAAGGGAACAACATTTCCGACATGAGCAGTGGGGCCAGTCTGTTGGAGAAATCGAAATAAAAAATCATGAGAAAATCAAACTTTCCCTCAAAGGTGTTCGGAGCCACTCTTATGGTAACAACAGCAGAAATTTTCCCCTTGTTCACCCCCAGTAGACTCCAGTAGGGATTAAATCACTATGAACCACTCATCCCATCTCCTCACCTCCTTGAAGCCTGGTGCTCCTCCAGGCAACAGTATTCCTGTTTAAAAGAGAAATGGGATGTAATTTCACTGTAGAGACTTGTGATGGAGAGGATGTGGTCCATTCAGCCTCCTGGGCTGACACACTTGAAACTGTTAATTTAATTTTATCTTTTGAGACTTTTTCCTGGTTTTGGTCAAGATAAACCTTTCCTCAGTCTGACTCGACATGTTACTCTCCTTCTCTTTCAGTTATAATGGCCTTGACCCTGCACATACCAGAGGGGTTGAAGCTAGATGATCATTACGATCCTTTTCAACCCAGGCCATTCTATGATTCTATGATACTCCATGGCTGTTTTGGAGACTAGCACGTACTCAGCATGTTACTGCAGGAGTACTGTATCTGAAGTCAATGTCAAGTCAGATACTGTTCCTTCATGTTTTCCAGCCATGGTGTACTTTACAATGGATGATTTTGTTCTGTTTTGCAGGTGTCCGGAACTGGTCTGACATCTACCGTTATGTCATGATTTTGGCACGTTTTGAGGTAGATATTAGCATGCCAGTATGCTCCTTAACCATGTTGCACTACTGATGTTTCTGAATTTATCAGTTACACTTAAATATCCAGACATAATACATTGGGAGCATTCACAGTGTGCGATCAGAAGTGCTAAATGTTGCCATCATTAGCACATGTCAGTGTTGGGTGCAGATCTCAAAAAGCTGAGCCATGTGTTTAAAAATTGATTGATTTTTTTTTTTTTTTCTAAACTGGCTTAACTAAAAATTGTTTTGGTAACTTGAAACTGTTTGTTTTGGCTTTTTAAGAAATAATTAGGCAGCTTTACTGGACAGATTTTCTCCTGCTGCAGATACCCAGAGTTCGGAGGAGGTGATGCAATGCTGATTCACAGCCTGAGATATTTGAAGGCATCTTAAGCTTTCATGACAGCAGTCAGCAAATATTTCTGCCAGTGCTCAGCTCTAATTCCCTGCTTTGCTATGGTGGTTGTGCTGGAGGAGTGGCTGCTGAGAGCACAGCCTGGGGAAATTCTGAACCCTAGCATTCCAGGCTGGCATGCAACCTGAGCAGATGCTTCTGAAAAGGCATTTCTTTTGCCAGCAGAGGCGTAAAGATGTCTGTTATATTCAGCATTACATGAGTTGAGACAGAAGGCAGAATAAAATTTCTTGCCCAGACACAGGCAGGCCAGCAGAAAAACACACCTTGGAAAATCCCACATACGTGCAGATCCAGTTACTGTTGTGATCTAACTTATGGCTGTGTACCTTTTGATAAGATTGTGGTTTTGCTTTGTAATGTGCATAATCAGTCAGTAACCTCTCCCTTTTCTTCATAGTTATTCAGGACTCAAAATAACTGCTGCTCTTCCTCTCCTAATTAAAAGCCATCTAACTGTTTATTAAGAAACAATTAAAGTTAATCACTGATTGAAACCTGGAGTCCTCACATTTAGATGTCTGTACATTTAAAAAACTGCAACATGGGCTTATATTTACCTCCAAGCAGCCCAAGTGGAGCACGAAGAGATTCAGACTCAAGAATGGAATAGAAATGAATAAAACCATGAGAATCTATTTCCTCCTTATTTAACATTTTTCCTGTATGCTGCTTTAAAGCATGGAATAATATAGGTTAGAAGAGATGTCTTGTCAAAGAAGGGCCAACTGTGAGAGGTGGCCCTGCAGTCCTGAACACAGCAAGCTGAGGTTTTTGCAGTTATTGTTTCCCTCATTCTCTTATATCTGCTTTCTGTGGACGTTCAGTTGTCCTTAATGTCCTTAATTTGTCCTCAGTGTACAGTTTATATTCCTGGACTTTCATTTGCAGCCACGCTTTCAGAGAAAATTGACCGAGAAGAATTAAAAATACTAAATAATAGTGTGCTGCATAACCTGACTTGAATCCAGTCAGGTCTTCTTGGTCAAGTCAGCATACGACCCATGCCAATCAGACTGCTTTTCTTTTATTCCTCTCTTTCAGGATGGGACTGCAGCACATTTAACAGTTATAAACATGCCTGCTACCACAACCAAGTAAGTAACCCAGGAAGTTTGCTCTGATGAGAACACACATCTCTAAGGTGACAGAAGTTGCTCAGCAAGACAGCTGTATGCACATTCTTGCTTTGAACCCACCTAGCCAGATTTCCATCCACACCTCTTTTTCATGCTCTCCACTCCCTCAGCCCAATTTTCCAGCTGCAATTAGTTATAAGGGCAGCTTTTACCTCCAATTACTTCCTTTCCTTTCAATTACTATTTGGCTGATGCAGCTGTCCTTCTTACTGTCTAGAGGACTTACAGGTAGAAATTGAGCACTTGCTCACTATTTTTGAGCCTAATGTTATGCTTCTGAATGGTGGGGAGCTTCGATCCCCTCACTCCTGACCCTTCAGCTCTGTGACCAAGTGTGACCAAATGACCTGCCTCTCCTTCCTGCAATCCTCATCTTCTTTCCTACTTCCATGGCTTCCCCTGTCCAACATTTGCAAGATCCCACAATACAACCATTTTTATGCTGCTGGCCAAGAATGGAGGCTGTACTCAAAGCTGAGCTCCCCTGGAAGGTCAGCATGTTGATTCATTTGAGCTTTAACTGAACTTTTGTTCTGCTCCATTTCTTTCCCCTTCAGCCTCACTGTAGGTTATGTCTTTTTCCCTGATGGGAAGAAGGCTGGGATTGAGTGGTCCAACGCCTCGCTGGCTGAGATGGCTGATGATGGTGTAATCAAGGATGAGTACAGAGTCAGTTTTACCGCTGGTAAGCTACACATATATTTGAAAATATGCCTCGATCAAAGTTCTTTCTCAATTTACAAAGCAAAGAGGAAAACTACCGCTCTTTGGAAAAGCATAAGAAAAAATCTATATGCAAAAATAGTAGATCTTGTGAATTTTTGAGATTAAACACAATTGAAGTCTGGAAACGTTCTTCCCTTTTTGCATTTATGAAAGGTGGCAAGCACTTTGATGTTTCTGCAAGGCTGGACAAGCAAGCTTGCCCCGTGGTGTACAGCGGCCTGACTGGAAGAGGTGTTTTCCATGAGTGCATTGCAGATTTCCAACTGGATGGGTTAACACGAGGCTGGGGCTTGGCTGAATTTTATTACAGGTAAAATAATTACAGAACTTTTTTTTTGCAAGCAAGAAGAGGTAAAGAATTCCTATTTTCCCATATTGTCCCCTGTAGTTACAGCTCCACAGATAATGGATGCGTACACACACATTTTTTGTTTGGCATAAGGAAGTGTTCTTTGTTTAATGCTTGATGTGCCTATTAATTTTACAATTACGTGTTATTTGAAAAAGAATGATTGTACAAGCACTTTGTGCATGCAAACAAACCATAGACACTTGTTCAGCTGCTTGCTTTATAGCTTTATATAGGTTTTTATATAGGTCTCCATATAGGTTAATGAGTCCTTGGATGTTTTACGAAGAGCAACTTTAGGCATATCCCAAATAGAACGAATCCTCTATGTCAAAGAGCAGGCTGGCCATTTACAAAGCAAAATTTGTTGACACAAAAATCTGTCAGAGTAGAGCACAGAGCAGATAAATGTTCGGAAAATCAATATAGCAATGCCTTTTATAGGGGAAAGGATTATATCAACAAAATCTGTGTTTCTCAGTGAATTGCTGTTTCTCCTGCCACATGATTACAGCAATCTTTTACTGCAGCCTTTTCCCTTTTGAATCTTTTCTCTCATAAAAAAAAAGAAAAAAGGCAAGTTTGCTTGTTTTCATTTAGATTGCTTTTTAAAATAAACACTGATTCTTGGCTGTCAGAGGAGATGCCGTAGATGACTTTCAGAAAATTGAATGCTCAGCTTCATCTGATAAGCAGACGTTTCTAAAGCACATAAAATAGGGCACTGCACCCCTAGAAGGCACACTGCTTGAACTTGTAAGCTGTGGCTTATAGCTGCTGCCAGGTAGCTGCTCCACTCCATCCATGAACCACCTGGCAGATTTTTAGACAGTCTACATATGGCAATGCTGACAAAATCCATATAGGCTCCTCTTTTGTGTCTACTTCCAAGTGAAAATCATGTCAGAAATCAAAAGATGGCAATCTGGTTCTTCCCCCTCACCATTCAGCATCCTTGCTTTTCTTGCAGGGATGAAGCTGCCCAGAGGGTTCCCAATTTGCAGCTTGGTTCCAACACTGAAGGCCCAGACCTTTCTTCCCAGCACCTTGTGAGCAATGGCTCTCTTCTGTGAGCACCTGCAGGCTCGTCCCAGTGGTGTTAGCAGGCAGCAGCTTTCCAGAAACGTTATTTCCAGCAAAATGCACAATTCTGAGGGTGAGACACGTTGTCACAGGATGGAGGTCAGTGATATAAAGGGATTTGCAGAGAAACAAGGAACATTTTTAGTATTTCTAACCTTGGTACCTGGAGGTGATTGAGAAGAAATCTCTGCATGACTGATTGAAAAGGCTTTTGGTATTTTTCCTGACTTATCATTTGCTCTCCAATGCGAACAGCAGGGCACAGGGCTACATGGATCTCTGACCCACATAGCAGTTCCTCTGCTCTTTCAGCTTTGTTTTTGAAATAAAAGCTCTATCTGTCTGAACTCTGGTTGGTGTGGTCATGAAAGCATGGGCATAAGCTGCTACAGGAAACTATGTTGTTTGATAGTCTTTAACTGTATGAGAAGTCAAACTGGAAGAAATAGGAAGAAACACATCTGAATGAGGTGTCCTCTAGGAATAGCATTTACATATAGGCTAATTAAATACGTGACACAAACACATTTTTTGATTGTGTGTAGGGAATGCAGAGTCTGGTAGTTCAGTTTCAATGATAATCTGAATATCTCATCATTCACTTGAGCTTAGATGCCATATTCATCACAGAATGCAGGATAGTCACCAATAGTTGCTGGTCCATGTAACCTACAGTCCATTCTCTGCCTAGTTATATCTTGCCATTACATACTGCAAATTAAGGATACTTAAAATATGTCAAGACATGTGGAAAATTATATATAAAAATCATATATATGTGTACACATGTTCCGTGCACATTCATAATTTCTGCTTACTTCAATAACAAAAGAGACTTTAAAGAAGATGTTCTCCTTTTTGAGGAAGTTCTTGCACTTATTACTACAGCAATCTTATCTGCAGAAGAGATATCCAGTGCTTAAATATAAAAATGTTGAGCCTATGTACTGTGGCAATGACTTCTTATTCAAATTTGGGATGCCTAATTGGAATTGAGGCACATAAGGCTTCTGTCAATTATTCAGCCCTTCCAGTCAGTAGTTTCTCAGGGCTGTGGTTCCATATTGGTGGAACTGATGTTTGTGAACTGGACTCTGCAAATTTGGCTGTGGAGCCCCTCTTTGCACCCTGGGCCATTGGCTGTGTGCATGAGGCAGCATTATGACTGCATCTCTTTTGGGACTGCCATTGATTCAGAGCTTTGGATTCTGGCTGCTCTTTTATAAATACATCTCCAGTTGCAGTGGTATTAAGAAACACATTCTTGGGAGTCACGCACAAATTTAAAGGTGTCTTAAATCTGCCTGTGCTCTGGAAGTCTCAATGCACTGAACCAGGGAGCTTCTAAATTATTCAAGACAATGGTACTTGGACAGAAACAAAGGCTTTATGCCTCTTTTTACACATAAGAAATCAGTTAAATGGGTAATTTTAGGAAGGTTAGAAAAAACATCAATGTTATACATCACAATCTGTTCCCACTAAGTATGTGGATTGTTTTTGCTATGATCTCAGGAACATCTGCTACTTCTTTCTGTGGAGTTTTTGTCACCTCTCACTTTTCTTTTCCTTTTTTTTTTTTTTTTTTAAGATTTAAATACAAAAATTTAGAAGAAGAAATATAGCTATGTAAGCAAGCAAAGACTTGTGAGGCATGCACTTCAGCCAGAGAATGTAGATAATGAGAAAAGCTGTTAATTATTACTCCAGATTGATATTTGAATATATTTCTATAAAAATATTCCCTGCCCAGGTCAAGAGCTAAAAATCCATCCTATTGAGCAAGGAATCTGTCTGGCTGTTTCTAGCTTGCTGTAACAGAGCTACAGCTATAGCTATGAATGCTGTGGGGCAAATGGCAGCTATGTCCCCCAGAACATAATCTCTGAAGTTCTGTGTTCCCACAGTGAGGAGGTAGAGGAGGTTGATGCAGCCTTCATTCCTCCCCTTCCACATGTTTTACTTGTTTCTTTTGGTTCCAGTGGATGGAGAATTAGAGTACTCCTGAGTTCAGTTTAGAAAAGTTCAAGTAGGGTACAGAAAATGATTAATAAAGTTTGGAGCTGGCAGGTTTATTTGCCAGGTGATGAACTACTGGTAAGGTATTTCAGCTTGAAGGACTGAAAAAAATGGCTCTTGGGGGTTTTCTCCATGGATTTTAAATTAGTTTATAGTATGCTTGTGTCCAGGACACATGGAAGAACTTATTTAATTTAAAATAAATCTACCAAGCCCCACGCTTTGACCATATGAAGTGGTCCTTCTCTTGCGGCTCCTTTCTCAGTGGAAAAATCCACCTTGGGAAATGCTTCTGCAGCCCAAAAGCATTAATTTTGAGAAAAAAAAAAAAAAAAAAAAAAAAGCAGTAAATGGAGGAAAATCCTGGCCAGAAGTGAAATGTAGCATACGATCTGCTCTCGTCCGGCACAAACTGGGGCAGCTGCAGCCTGGGCAGGATGAGTTGCTCTCCAGCATCCCTGCTTTGCACATCTGGGAGGAACCAAGCACCTGTAATTCCTGCTGCTGTCAATGGGCCAGTGCCTGACACGGCAAAATGCTTGCACAGAATGCTTGCACGTCCCAATGGAACTCACGTGCATGTTAAATTTCAAGATTCAGGCAGTGGTAACGAGGTCATTTAGAGGCTGTCAGCCTCCAAACTAAGCATTTCCCATCAATCTGGCCTTGGCTACTGATGTCTACAACAGTAAATATTTTACTAGGCTTATTTATTTTCCTTCCTTTTTGCAGTCTTTCATGTATGCATATATATAAAGGTCATTTGCTGTGACACTGTATTTCAATGACAAAAAGAAGGAAAAAAAGAAAAAAAAAAAAGCCCATTTTCTGTTTGGATTTATGGCTTAGCTTTATAGTTATTGAAGCAAAGTGACTGATTAACTAAAGCCCAGGGAGTTCCACAATCTATCAAAAAAAAAAAAAAAATGCCCGCTATGGCTGCACTATCTCTGCAAAGCAACCAATTATTTCAAAGCTAGACTTTTCCCTCCATGAAAACAAGCCAAATGACTCAAAGACATACCAGACTTAGTGGCTGATAACCACCCACTCCCTTCTCCTATTTACTGGAACCCAACTGCCTCCTACTCCCTCTTGTTTACCATAAAAAGCCACATTAGTCTTATTCCATCCCAAACTGCTCTTCCCTAATCTGTGTCGTTTTATGTTGCTGTTGCTCTCCTAACATTCTTATACTAAGAGTTCAGGTGTCTGAAGCAGGGCCCCTGAAGGGATCCCTCCTAGGGGGTTTTGGGGTCTCCACCAGCATTTGGAGCTGTTTTCCGTTCCTGGTTGAGGTTGTAATGAGTTGCAGCATTGATTTTTGCTTTTATTCAGCACAAAAACCTTACCAAAAACACAGTGCAAGTGAAGTTCATTCTAATCTGGCCATAAAATTTTACGAGGGATGTAAATCAAAGAGAGGAGTGGCAGCTAATGCTCTGGAACAGTTGAGCCCTGTTCAAGCCTCCTCAATAGAGTTAAATCCCTCCAGGAGCAATTAGCCTAACAAGCTGTTTGGTCCACTTATAAATAACGTCATCGATGGAGACGTCTGGAGGTGTCTGCTCTGTGTACCAGACTTTCCAAATATGCTGAGCAGTGAATGGTTTTTTTTTTTTTTCTGAAACTGCAGTGAGGGGTGGAGATGCTTATCTGACACGTCCCAGCAGCTTCCCTCACATATTTATAATGTTTTCCAGGAAAGATATGGAGTGGAAAGTAGGAGTGCCATGCTCATCTGGAGCGTCCTCTTGTACTGCCTGTGGGACAGCAGTGCTGACCCCAGCAAGGTGAAGATTTCTTCTGCATGTGACCAAGTGACTTAAGTTTCTGCATTCTGGGGCATATCTGGCATGTCCATGCTCCATCACCTTGGCTAACTCTATGTCCTCATTTTCCCTCCTGCTTGAGAGCTGACCTCGGTTTTACCCTTCGGCCCTTTGGCCTGAAAGCATCATTTTCTTTTTTTCCTTTTTCCTTTATTGTCATCTGATTGTCTTCTCTTTTTCTAAAATACATCGTAAATTTATAGCCTTTGTGGTTTCGTGACTATGGAGGAACTTTCTGTAGCACGTTGAGATCTCACTCCATAAAACTGGCTTTTAAATGCAAATTGGAAATTTTCAATTGCAAGTAAATATCTGCCCATTTCCCTGTGGAGTTTGACTCCTGAAAACACGGCTGAAAAGGGATCTTTGTCAACCTCTGCCAAAGCACTTGTGAAAATGCACCCACAGAAGGAGAAAATACTGGCATTGGATATTTCAATTCATTTTAAGGAGGTGCGACTCAACTTAGAAGTCAAATTCTTTATTATTTCTCAAAGTCTTCACACTGTCTTTTATGAAGAGGCTGATGTAAACTCAGCCATCCAAGCCACAATCTAAGAAATGTTAGTAAATTAACAAAATTATAACATTTAATTATGCACGAAGGATGGAAGCCTTTGATCTCCTCCTGCTTTCCCTTGAAGGGAAAGACACATCTGGATAGGACTCTGCTACTGCTATGCAAGGAGATAATGCATTTGTATTTTCTGCACTCAGTGTATATTAACATACTTCAGATTTGTCGTTGTTGGTTTTGTTTGTTTGACATGGATGACTTGAAGTGCACAGACAGTTCTCTTCATTTAAGATCATTCAAAGAATTAGCCATTAGGTCTTTGCTGCTAGTTCTGTGAAATATTTTCCTTGGGAAACGTAATTTTTCCTTCTGCAAAATGGCCCCAATTACGAACACTTGACATGCTTTGATTAATTTTCTAAACCTTCCTTTGGGATACAGCATGAGAAATTCCTTCAAGTGGATAATATGTTGATAAGGGATTAAAATTAAAACTAATTAGGGGCCCTGAAATTGTAGGAATGTTTAATCACGTTTTGCAGAGATGAGGGTAGGAAAAGCCCTGAAGTTACATGATGTGCTGTGCTGCTGGCTGTCTTTACCAAAGCATCCAGTTCTCAATGTTTCTTTTCCCAGTCTTGTTTCTGCTGTTATTCTAAGGCATGTAGGCTTCTACCGCATGTTTATAAGCTGATAAAACCATAATGCCAGGAATGTTTTCCTTCCTCTATTAGATTAACAAAATGAGTGACTTTTCAGATACAGCCATGTTTACCACGCTCTCCACACCAAAACAACAGCTGTGAATAGATGGCGGTAACTCATGGAGAGGTGAGGAAATCAGAGTTGCTTGGCACAAAGGCAGATGTGAGATACGTGTGTGCATCCCAGTCCTGATGAGAAACGTTTGGCTTTCCTGATGGTGTACTCCTTAGGGGAAAAATGCCTAATAACTACAGACAAAATCCATTTGCATGACAAATTACTCCAGCATTCATGCAGAGGTGGGCTAATTGTATGTGTCAGGCAGCCTTGTGACTACATGGGGTTTGGCTCGCATGAAGACAAAACAGCCACACAAAGCCTGTTTCATAATGAAGATGGAATATTTTAAATGATCTATAACGAGACTTTCCCAAAGCCATAAATACACTCCTCTTGATCTGGCGTGCACTTAGAGCAGCCATGTGTTGTGTGAGGCTTTCAGAGTGAATACCAACACAAAGGAGTTTTGGGGATGAGGAAGAGCCTTGAGCCATCACAACCAATTATGCTAACTCCCAAAATACATAAAACATTTCATCAAGGGAGATCAAAGTGCCTTTCATGGGAAGGAAGAGCTATGGTCT